AACACTCCATCATGGTCCTTGCCTTTACTCTAGCACTTTCCTGAAGTTTAGGAGCAAACAGGGCATTGGGATTTTTCCTGCACTGGTTCAAGCTTGACATTTATTTATTTACTTATTTATTACCTGCCTCATCTTTCTGAACTTCGAAAAGAAAGCACTGGCCATCTTCCCAGTCTGGGGAAGAAGGAATGAGATGCAAAGCGTTCCTTGGTAGGGGGACATTGTTTAAGAATGCCACACCTCTGAGCTACAATAGCTTTAATTTGCTATGCTTTGCTGCATATTACTTATACTTTATCCCAAAGAAACTTATAAGCACCTTAGGTGTAGACACCAGGTACAAGGATGACTTTTATGCTTCCCTATGATTCTGTATTGTTTCAATAAGAGAATTTTGGTGAATAAACTCTTAGTAACTCTTTACCAGTTTATTAGTGATTATGTAATTATAATAGGATATTAAAAGAAGAGTTGTACTGACTGGATTTGTGTGTCAGCTTGGCACAAGCTAGAGTCATCAGAGAGGAAGGAGCCTCAGTTGAGGAAATGCCTCCATGAGATCCAGCTGTAAGGCATTTTCTCATTTAGTGATCAAAGGGAGCGGGCCTAGTCCATGGTGGGTGATGCCATCCCTGGGATGCTAGTTCTGGGTTCTATAAGAAGGTGGGTTGAGCAAGCCATGGGAAGCAAGCCAGTAAAGCAGCTCCCCTCATGGCCTCTGCATCGTCTCCTGCCTCCAGGTTCCAGCCCTGCCTATGTTCCTGCTCTGACTCCTTCCAGTGATAGACAATGAAATGTAAGCCAGATAAACCCTTTCCTCCCCAACTTGCATTTTGGTCATGGTGTTTCATCACATCAATAGAAACCCTAAGACAGGAGTTGACCAATTACCAACAAATGGGTTAATAAACGATGGTATATTCCATGAGTGGAACATTATACAGAAACTGAAACTGTATACTGAAAGAATTCTTAAGGAACTGACTCATGTTATGTTATGTATTACAAAGCACATAGACATGATCGTTAATTCTTTATCTGACTGGTGCTGTAACTCATTTGAGTCAAGAAGCAAAGGCTAAATGGTTCTCTCAGGGAGGTGGAATTTGTAGCAGGTCTCCATATCCTAGCACAACTAACACCATGTTGGAGGCACTGTTTTGACCTTGGAACCCAGCACATAGATCCTAATACTTGCCTTAAAAGGAACAAAGATCTAAACTTTCGAATCCCTGATTCGAAATTCCAAGATCCAGGAAAGTCCCTAAATATGCTATTCTTCCTTTTTGTCTTCTATAGTTTAGCTTTTTGATAACTGTTCTTATTAACTGAACTGTATCAACCAAGATGTGTGGGTTTGGCGGGGAGGGGCATAAAAGACAAAGATTGGTGAGGCTCAGAGCTGCAGGATTGGGACAAGCTCCCCATGCTACTGCCAGCCAGTAATATAGACTTTCTATGCGGCTTGAAGGATGTCCATGTATACTCTCTGGTAAAGTTATCTGGAAGAGTGGGACACTGGGAGCCTCGGATCTCCTGGGCTGATAGTGTGGGGGATCAGACAGCACCTGGAGGTGCTCACTCTGAGACTCAGGAACTTCTCCCACCTCTGCTCCTGTTGGCCCGGAGGCTTCTGTCATCTTCACCATAAATAGGAAACTACAGAAAGTTACCTGATCTATTCCCTCCAGAGTCGATTCTAAGCCTGCTTATGGTATCTCCTGAATAGGACACTTAGAAAAAGCCGGAAAGGGTCCAGGATTCAAGTGAGATGTCACCAGATCCCTGATTTCAGTCTTCGGTGGTGGCTACCCCTAGTTGTCTTTGTTGCTGCCTGTCTGTGTATCTCTATGCGTTTCTCTCAGTTCTGTTGATCAGAGAAGCAGTTCTCAAATGGGAGGGGAAGTAAGCAGTTCCAAGACACAGTTGAAGTGCATGTTAAAATATTTCAGAGAGGGTTTCGTGGATGACGATGGATATATTGACCAGCGGTTGCTCTAGTATGAGATCCACCCCTCTGGCTTAAGATGTGTACCCCCTGTTGGGGACACAAATCCTTCTGGCTCATCCAGATCACCCAGAGAAACTCAAAACCTCTACCTGCTCTCTCAATCCCATTGAAGAAAATTGACTTCCCCCACTCCCTATGTCTCAGTGTGGCCCTTGTCCCATGGAGATGGTATACAAAGTGATCCCACCACTGAGTGCTGCGTTATGGAGGCTCCGGCTAGCCAAGCCACTGATGGCTCCGGCTGCAGGGGGCACCTACCACTCTTAAGTGTAAACTGCTCAGTAGGGCCAGCCCTCTTCTTCAAGGAATAAAGTGGCATAATAAATTATTCTCTTGAGTCACTACGTTTTCAATGGACTTTTTAATGTAACATTGGATAACAGAGATAAATTGTCTCGGGCATCATCAGCAAAGACTACATAAGGACAATATATATGAATGATTTTCTAGAACTGATGCATAACCTAAAATGGCGAGGTGGAGGAAGAAACTGGAGGTCTTTCTTTCAGTTGCTCACCAATGGGGAGTCAAGGAAGCAGCTGTTTCTGGATGTTTCCCGCCCCCTTTGGTTCTTTTACTGTTGTGCTTAGTTTCCTTATTGCAAAGCAATGTGCTATTCTAGAAAACACCCAATGTTTACGGTCTAGGAGCATCCTAGACAAATCTCAATTGTCATCTACGTTGCATAGCAACAGGCCCAGTCCTCTCAAAAGACCATGTCTGCCCAGATGTCCTTCACAGAACTCGGGATGCTCTGACTCTTGCCATCTAGTTTGCAAGGCATGTTCATCTAAACACCATCTACTGGATGTGTTAGGTTTTCTCTAATACTTAAAGTCCCTTCCCCACAGATTTTGCCCTCAGCTGGTGGAAGCCATCTTACCTTAAAGGTCACAGCACTCTCACTTACCTCGGGAATGATCCAGAGCCAGTGACGGGGAGACTCAGGTGTGCTAATGTTGACGTTAGCACAGGAGGAGTCACTCCGTAAGGACGTTTATTCACCCAGACTCTCTTCTCACAGAACAGCTCATGATTACAGACGTAGGAAGTTCACAGCTTTCTTTGGCTGCACTTCCTTACTTAGTCAGTATTTCCCATTCCCTAAGTGGTTGATCTCCAAACAAAATTTCCCTCATAAATCCCATGTCGTCAAATTCCAGTCTCAGACACATACTTTCTTTTAGATTCCTCTTGGAGGTCCAAATTGTGCTGAGGTGAGAAGCTGAAATGGCCTAGCACGAGTGTATCAAACAGGCTCAACAACTGGTAACAGCTCTCCTCACCTCATTATTGCTGTAAAGTGGGAAAGATGTGAGGAATTTCTTTCAACATGAAAGGTACTCAAGCGAAGTTTTCTACACTCAGTATATAAAGACAAAGGAAGTAGTAGAGGGACACTGACTTTTAAAAGTGGGGCTATTAATATTCATCCTTATTGTATGGAGTAACTAAAAGCTGTGCTGGTAGTATTGGTGAGTTCTCTAGAAGACACCCTCAGTAGGGGGACTCAAGACCTCTCCACTTGGATCAGTCTCTGCCTTCCCAGGCTGTCCTCAGAATAGAGTTCAGTAAAGAAGACATGATATACTGCTGCAAAAAGCATAGTAGATAGGTTATTTTTTGCAAAAGAATCACACTTCAAAAAGATGCTCAGGCTACAGGATAGCCTGTGTATATCTTCAGCACTGGGCATGTACACATCTGTCCTTACCCTGCTTCTCACCCATAGACCTGAAGAGTAACTGTGGAAGATGTCAGAACCACAGCATCCTGAGCTAAGCAGAGGGAGACTAGAGGCTCCGTGCTCCATCTTAACCTGCTGTCCAGGCAACAAGATGCCTTCTGCTGTGGTTTCAGTGTGTCTCCTAAACTCCACATATTAGAAGCTTAATTAGTGGTACAGTGTGTTGAGAGGTGGGGTCTTCAAGACGTGACAAAGTCAGCTGCCCTCAGCAGCTCTGGGTGTGCGCACAAGATCAATCCAGTCAACATCCTAGCAGGAAGCAGGCAGGTTCCTAGCAGCCCTCACTCCTAACTGAGGAGGTATTGACAGGGGATAGTTTCTAGGGGAGGGAGAGTTAGTGTTTCAAGGGTGTGGCCACTGGTGACTGGACCTTACTTCTGTGGATGGGCCCATACTTAGGAGTATATGGTCAGCACCAATTGGACTTACTGGGTTATTAAAAGGCAAAAAGAGGGTATGGAATTGGAAGGGGGTAGCAAGTTGAGTGAGTGGACCTGAGAGGAGTTGGGGGTAAATAGAATCAAAATATATTTCATGACATTCTCAAAGTATAAAAATACAGTGTTAAAAATAATTAACAATGTTATTGGAGTTTTGCTCCCATCAGTTATGCATGCTATTATCACAGAGTGGGTGAGCCATCCTGGAAGTGGGTTTCTCATAAGGGTGTAGGAAAGCCACTTCCTCCTCCCTGTTCCTCCATCAACCCTCTCACCTTCTGCCTTGGGGTGGCACAAGAAAGCCCTTGCCAGGCCATGGCGCCTTGGTGTCAGTCTTCTAAGCCTCAGTGTTGATAAGAAAATTTCTTCTCTTTATAAATCTTATAGCAACACAAAATAGACAAAGAGAGCCCTCTGTACTTTGGCCTAGCGTTTCCAGTGACCAGGATGTTGTACGGGGGCAGGGGTGTGCTTCCCAGGATCTGTAAGCGGCATGCACATATTTCCTGCCTGCCCTAGGCAGCATTTCTGAGCCTAAGAGGACTGGCTGGCATGACTCTCATCTTTTCTGGCTGCCCATTTGTGGGTAACCAATCAGTTTTTATGTGGCTGGCTGCCTGGGAGTGTATTCTGTCTCAGAGAAGTCGGTGGGCAGTGAGCCTGCTTCACACGGGTATTATAATACCACTCCGTTTGGTGTCTGGATATTAAGTGAATTATGAGACGTCTTGACACTTCTCATAATTCTGAGCAGATGGACTCACAGGTACTCACACCAAAACTCAGATTCAGTTACTTTGGTCATTAACACGGTTTATTATTGGCACACTTACCAGTAAAGCATACATAAAATACAGCTGTTTTATGACACACGGAGCCACTGTGTCTTTACATGTATAGAGGAACATATTAATATGCAAATGGAAAAATTAGTTCTCTTATAAAGCTTCACATAAATACACTGAACTTGCCCCAAAAGAAAAGTTCCCATGAGAGAACCAGGTGAAGGATTTACAAAATATTATACAAGAACTATAGCATGAAAAAAAAAAAAAACCAACCACCAACTCAGTCAACTCAGTTACAATTAAAAAAAAGAAGAAATACAAAAAGTTTCAGATTTATTAAGCCTTCCACAAAATTAATGAATTACATGGCTTGAAAATATTTGGACCCACAGCGAGTTCACAAATGCATACACTTCCCAGGGTCCGTTTATCTCTGTGTACATAGTAAAATCTACCCATATATCTTTGAGGATTCCTTGTTTCAGTACTTGGCCTAAACTGAAACAACTCAGACTCAAGAACCAATTAGGCTCGGCTTGCCAGAAACTCACCTAGCTGTGTCTTCTTGGGCTCTTGCTATGCAGAAAACCAATGGAAAGTGAAGGGGGGAAAATACATTTAAATTACTTTCCCAAAACAGATTTTCTTTTCTTTTTTACTGAAACAAGAAACTCTCAAATGCAAGTCAAAAAGCAGAAAATATTTTACAATATTAAAAAGTCATCTCTAGTTGGGGGTCAGCATGTGACTGTGATCCTGAGCACGTTCGGACAGCATGGCCTTCGGTAGGTGCATGAACAGGAAGTTGAACACAAAGAGGGAGGGAAGACCGTGCCAGGAGGTGCCATAGCCTCTGCTGCTGCCAATTACCGCCAGGGACAGTGTCTGTACTTCGTGTGAAGGCCTCCAAGGAGAGGCCACGGAGGCTCATTTGAGCAATCCTCTCAATTAAAAAAATGGAAAAAAAAATCGCAAGAAAGAAAACCAGGTCGTTATGTTTAGAAATAGGTTTTTGCATGGAAACGTTTTGTTTGTGTGGGTTTAAATTTCACCTCTTTCCTCTCCTGATAGAGATTTGCGACTGGAATTCTACCCCACTGGGCCTATGGGACAGTGGAATCAGGTGCCGGGCAGGCCCATCTTATTGGGAAGCCTGGGGTGGGGGATTTTCTGATTTGGTCTCTTGAGTGGCGGGAGGTTTACTGTTCCACGGGCTGTTGTTCCCCAGGGCAGGTGAATTGTTGAAGTCTTCCTCGTCGTCCATGCCGTTGGCCGCATCATACTGCGTGTTTTCTAATCTAGTGATTAGCCTTTCGTCCTCGTCCCCAAACTCACCTCCCATCAGAGTTGGCTCTCCTACCACCATCACATCCTGTGAACAGCAGCTGACATTATTACAGGGAAACCTTAGGGGAGAGAAGCTCAGCTTAAAACAACACCGGGAGGCGCTCGGGGGACCTAGGACAGACACACTCGTGTGCGCTGTACAACCGGGTCAAGTCTCAATGTCGGGGGGCCGAGACGCATATTGGATTTCTACAGGAAATAAACATCGCCTCCTGATGTGTAACAACCACGCGAGTTTATGTCCTTAGTGCGCAGCCTGACACCGGAGAACGAGCAATGCTAGCAATCTGCAGAAATAAAAAAATGGATTTTTCAAAATTAAAAAAATCCACGCTTGGAACTTGCTGACCCGGGGCACTTCTGAGAGGGCAACAGAACCTTTTTTGACAATACCTTTCAAAAATCGCCACTTTCACTGAGGGCTGGTGAGTGGCCCTGTCATCTTGCAGAGAGCTGGGACACAGGGATACGTAAGGTACCTTCCTACAATACCCACACAACTCATTCCGAATGGTATTCTCGGTCCCCAGGATGATACACACTTTAATTGAAGACAGAATCCCTCTCTTTTCTACTCTGCCAGGTCCTTTTATGCAGCCAATATCCTTGACATTCTGCTACTTAATTATGGTAATTAATTTAGGTAAAGTTTTCGATAAAAACAATGTTCACACTGATTTGACAATTTGCATAGCTAATTAAGTCATTAGCAAAAACCTGCTGATTGCCAACAAGCCCTGAATTTACCATCTGTTATTTCATGGTGCCTGTCACCTATCTCCACACAGGCAACCCTGCTACCAATCTGGGCAGTAAAGAGAACCAGTCTGTCCAGCTGGTCCCATAAAAGAAAGATGAAGAGCGAGCTAATTATAATTACACCGATGGAGCTGGCAGTCATTAGGGATGGGGACGAGCGAGAAGAATCTGAGTAATCACTCCTTTAAGTACAAATTGTCCTTTCATGCAAACAAGAAAGCTACCTACTGGAGCTGGGAGCTCCTGGAGAAGTCACAGCTGGAGCAGCCTGGGCCTGGGGTAGGGGCAGGGCTACACACAAGACACAGCTCCAGCGTCTTTGTTCAAAGGGGATTGATTATATAGGAATGTGACCCAGGTGTGGGGCAGGCTAGCTTTCTTCTGGGTACGAGCCGAGAAGCATTTTACTTAAAGGCTCAAGGCTTGAGGAGGGCGTGTTACTCTCAGCCTCCAGGAAGCAACAAAAAGTTTTGCTAGGCCAAGCAGCATTAGAGTGATGGGTGTGCAGCTCTTTGCAGCAAAGTTAATTGAGTAAAACGTTTGACCCCTGGGCATTTTTTCCTAAAACCTTGAGGAGCTTTGCCTAGCCTCTGGACAAGGGAGCAACGTTCTCTGATACCATCTAGAACTATGAAGGTGTCCCTTGAACAAACCTTGTCTATTCCAGGATGGAAAACTCTGTTTTGATTATTCCTTCCCTGCGTCAATCTTTATTTGTATGAGATGATTTCCCACACTATGTTTTTTGACTAGTCATGCTTGTGAACTGGTAGGTTTTTTTTTTTTTTTTTTTAAGGAGAAATGGCCCAGGTGAAGTAAATACATGAAATGTGAACTTGGTTAACTCAGCAATAGAGGTACTGCTAAGGGTACTGGTCAGATACTGAACTGGGAGCTTCCAGTGTGTTCGCTAGGCAACGATGAGCCAGAAGTTGACACTGGCATGTAAGGAGACTCATGAGGACTCTTAAGATGAGATGCAGAATAGGCACTGTCTTTCTGACTGGGAAGAAGGGCCCTGTGGTTTTAAATGGAATGTAGACACTGCACAGTTGTGTGAACATTATTCAATTAGCAGAGGCTGGCTACCATTTCACTCATGGCAGTCCAAGGGTAAGAGAGTGACACTTAGGGACAGGCAATTAGGAGGCTGTACTTATGATGACGAACAAAAAGAGGCAGAAAGGACAGGAAGGGAAAGATTGACAGAGCTCAGCGTGAGGATTAATGAAAACACTTGGATGGACGGACGTGGGGGACATGCATCGCGTGTCGCCGGGCAGGAGAGGACCATAGAACCAACCATGTGGGTCTGTGTTAGTACTGTGATTCCAAAGCCATCGAGAGAAGCTGCAAGAATATGGAGACGCAAAGGAGGTTTGGGAAGCAGAGGGGAAATGGAAGAAGTGGCTGGTTTCAGCGTGTCTTTAGAAGGAAAGTCCCCAGCACTGCAGATGTGCTCTCTGCATTAGAAAATAACATCCATGCAAGAAAAAAAACCAATAGGCATGTAGTGGTTTGAGTGTCTCCAGGGGGGCTCTAGCATAGGCTTGTAATATGTGGAGAACCCCACCTTATCCCCACACACCAGAAAAAGCTGGAAAAGATGCCCGGGTGTACGTGTTTGTAAGTGCGCTGTGTTTCAGAGAACTGCTACATTGGCTTTGTTGGTTCTTCTAAAAGTATTCTTAATTAGAAGCATAACTCTGTGTGTGTGCGCGTGTACGTGTGCACAGATGCACGTGTGCATGTGTGCTGTGCATGCGTGCGTGTGGTTTAGTTGACCGACAGGTGACTAACGAATAAAAAGAACTTTAGACTTTCTACACACATGGTGCTGGAGGCCATTTAGAGAGTTCTTTGAACTCCATTTGGTTTCTCTTTGGTTCCTTTCACACCTTTACAGAAGTACAGTGCTGCTCTTCCCCAGCTGTCTCTGCTTGCTATTGTCACACAAAGTAAGAGGAGATAGGCTGTTCATTCCAGGTTGCTGCTGGCTAGGGGATGTGAAATGTGAGTCCCCACCCCCATGTCCTGGAAATCCCACTTCGGTGGTGAGAGTGACTTTCCTTCCCATGTCCAGCCTTTGTGACACACTGGGGGTGCAAGAATCCACCTGAGAGGAGCCCACATACCCTTGGTTCCCCCATGAGGCTGACCTCTGCTCCTGAGCTGGGAGCTTGGAGGTGCCACCAGCTTTTGCCCATTTCACACCTTCTCACTAATCCCCCGTGCAAGGACCACCAACCTCTGAGGAGGACTGGAAGTGACTCCTTTCAGGGCCCCTCAATGCTTCTCCTTAAATTGGCCAGAAGGGGTCACTGCTGTAGAATGACACAGGTCTCCATCCCTCCCAGGGTTGAGGCTGCAGTTCGGGATGGCTCCTAGCCCCTGCTCATGAAGTGAGAAGCAGAATCCAAGGGTTAAACCCTAGTCCTGGCCACACACACGCACACGCGCACACATACACGATTGCTGCAGAATCTCTGCAGTTCAGAGCTGTAGTCACTGGACCAGGCAGCTGATGCCTGCAGATCATTTCTAGTCAAACAATAAGATGATGTTGATTCAGTCAAAAGTACTTAAAAAGATGTGGTCACTCTTGCTTAAAACCCATTGAACCTGAAGACACTTAAGAGTCTGTGCATTTTCTTAACTCGACTTTCTTCCTGCTTCTCCCAGTCATCTGCAATTTCTATTTCGTGACATTACCTTAAAATGCATGGTATAGGAACACGGCTGGCATTCATCTCTCTATTTAGTGATGCCTGTGCACACAAAATCCACACCCGTGAGAACTACCCCAACGTATTTCTTGGTTTAGAGAATAGGAGGGTCGTGGAGTAGAAAAACTTACAGGCTTGCTAAAGTGGAAATGATTCCACTCAGACAGGTAGGCTAAAATATATAAGGTACACATTTACTCTCAACTTTTACATCATGGCAGACATCACTAACAGATGGCCTCCCAAACACTCCCTGCCAGAATTCTTGTCTACGTGGTGTGCTCTGTGAGCCGGCATGAAAGAGGGAACTTCTTGGTCATGCCCAAGTTAAGAAGTGAGTTCTTTAATGACAGGGGCTCTTTGGCCTTGTTTTTAATTTTTTTTTCATCTCGGAGTTGTTAGTCCCCTGCGTAGTATCATATCCAATAGGGTTTTAGAGAATGCTTGAAGAGCTGACCTAAATTCCTTCAGTAGCCATACTTTTTAGCCACGACACCCTGGTTCCAGAATTCTCTGGAGCTCCTTTTCTTTGTTTTCTAGAGGATACTAACAAAAGTTAGTTTCCAAACCCAGGACTAGATGAATACATGGGCTGCGTATGTGGACATTTTCAGTCCATTTTTTTAGATGGGAACATTTTCTCTATTCTCCAGTTCTGGTGTAACAGGAACAAGTACAACTCCTTGTTGCTTTAATAAGAAAACACAGATTTCACTCTGCCAACTTTTCCCCTCTGATCGTCAGGCATGGTGAGTGCAAAGGTCTATTCAGAAAATAAAGGACTGCTTGGAAACACATTGCATTATTTAAGATTAATAATTCTTAGTGGTCTTAAAACTGAAATAACCTTTCAATACCCGGGGGCTGTTATTTCTACTATCCCCTTCTCTCTAATGCACTGAACATGGAAAGCACACACATGTTTGTGGAAGAGAGGAAGAGTTCCAGCAACTCAAGGACTCCCTAAGCACTGGGATTATTTTGTCTAAAGAGAATGGACGGTAAAAAGTTGGCCGAGGGGCAGATTAGAGAGGCACATTTGCAAGTGGGGAATTTCCAGACAAAAGGTTACTCTTACGGAAAGAGATGAAGCAGGATCAGGAAAAGGCTGGCGAGGAGAGCAGATAGAGAGCGAGTGGAAAGGGTAAGGACGCCACAACACGGAAAGGCGTGTACCTCCAAAGTCACAGTGTCAAGGAAGGGTCAAATGCCTGGTGACAGTCATGAGCATGGGTAGAGAGAACCCATAAGGAACCATGGCAAGTGGTGGCAGCAGGTGTTCATAAGACAGGAGTATGTGAAAGTGATAGTCTAATACCGCAATGAGGATTTGCAGGCAGGAAAGGCCATGGTTCAGTTTGAGAAGAATCAACCAGGGATGAAGAAAGCCTTGCAGTCTACTCTCTTCGGACACTACCTTCAAGGCTCAGTTTCAAAGTTTCATCCAGCACCCCTTGCAAGTGGCCTTTGTCCAGGCCCAGAAATGAAAGGAAGAGGTCAGGGGCCAAAAGAGGTAAGAACAAGCCAGGGGCTGGCTCTACATGAGCTACGGATCCGCCAGACAAAAGTTTACTGAGCTGCACTTCTAGTGGCTGCAAGCTAATTGCCTGGCTCTTAAATACGAGGGAGGCCCATGCTGGGAAGGCCCAGGCAAATTACAGTATGGGACTGGAGCTCAGGGGACCAGTTTCCAGGGGCATATTGGGTCTCCAAGGCTGCAGTTGAGAGGCCTTAATATGCCACCAGGCATGCTGCTAAGTGATGCTTTAATTAAACCCTGAGTGCCATGTCTCCTGCCAGTGACTCTGATGGCTTTTTAATTCAGGTCCCATCACAGCACGGACTCTTAATATTCCCTCCTAATTCCTCGCTCACAGGGGACGTTACCATGGTAAGATTCGTACCTCTTGTACTATCCCACCCCGTCCCTGCCGTGCTCCTCCTCCCGCCACCAAACTACTCAGAACCCTTCTTTCTTTTTTTAAGTTCGGAGAGGAATCCCAGCCCCCTGAGTTGGGTGAAGAGAAAGGGAAGGCTTCAGGCCTAAGAGCAAAGAGAGACTTACAGGTACCTGACTGGACAGGCTCAGGCTCGCAGCCGGGGCCTTCTTCTTGCTGCCCGCAGTGTTGGTGGTATTCCCGGCGCTGCTGTTCGAGGTGCTGCTGGTGGAGTTTTTTCTTTTTCTCCTTTTGGTTGTCGGTTGCCTTGTGGGTTCTGCTGTAATAGGGAAAAGGAGAGAGGGTTGGGCTCCAGGGCAATAGTACGAGGCAACCCTAAGTATAGTGTCCTTCCCCGTGGCGCTCTTTTCTCCCCTTTGAAAAGGGAGCTATTTAAAATTTCCCCCTTTTTGTGTAATCTAAAAATAACAATAAAAGAAAATGGTTGATTTGTTTCTAGCACAAAATTTGTGAAACTCTTTTCTTCTGCACATAGCTATGGCATGATTTTTATTTAAATGCTTGGTCTATTTATGTATCTGTGACTCACTTATAGTACTGTAGGAGCAAGCTACAGGTACCATTTTCATGATTGAACTTTAAAATATTTTTACCAGTAGAAAAGTTAGGAACTAATCTACTTTTTTTTCTTTGTAACAAAGGAAGCAAGGACCTCAGAAGACTCAAGGTGTCAACGAAGTATTAACTCTAGACAGATGCTGGCAAAGTTATGTGCAACACTCACCCCATTGTACCCATGTCTCATGGCAACCCCTCTTTCTTACACCTTGATATCCTCGGTTGCCTCAGCCTTGGTGAGACTGGGGCTTTTCAGGTGTGTAGGAACACCCAATAGTTTGGACTCTGGTCTTTAATAAAGGCTATTTATTAACTTGAAGATTATTCAAAAGAATGTTTCAGTATGGTATAACAAGAAAATGAGGGAAACTAGACTTATTCAAGAAAAGCATACTCAAATAGTGAAAAATATTTGGGCCTTGAATAATGGGACGAACATGATCCATTGTGATGTGTGGTAGGGATTATTAATTTACTGTCGTCTCTTTTGTTCTGTATTGAGATATGTCCAATGCAGTACCATCCATATACACATCCATAATAAATATATCTTTAGAGAGTTTTACATATTTATGCCCCAGATCATGATGGGATTACTCGTGGCAACCAACCCTTCTCGATGAATGTCTGATCATCATAGTTTTCCTTTTGAGAGCCCTTCATCCCCAGAATATCTAGGAGCATGTTTACAAAGGTAGTGAAGAACAGGGCATACCTGGTGGTGCCACCATCCGCTGCCACTTCTGAAACAGGCAGGTCTTCAGGCAGTCTCTGGGACTGAGGTTGTAGGTTTTGTGTCTCGACATCAGTTCCTGCATTGGCTCCAGTATTACACACAACTGCAAGGAATTCAGAGTCACCGGTGTTCAGCTACTTGATCATATTAATTACAACAATAATTCTAACAGCTGGAATCCATTAGCCAGCTTAAGGGTTCTTTTGCTTTTTTTGCTGGTTTTGATTTTCTCTATGTAAGTTTGAAGGGAAAAACTCATAAGCCACACTTGAGTATACCCACTTAATGGAGTATCATTTATAACATGGTGTTACAGCTGGGTGTGATCACACACGCACATGCATGGACGCACGCACGCGCACACACACACACAGAAACACATATACACTCTTGTAGAGACTTAAGGCTGGACACAGTTCTGTAATGAATTCAGCGGCTTCTCCCTGGGTAAAGGCAAAGTGCTCTTCCATGGAGCACACTGCTCCGATTTCAGCTCTGTCTTCCGGCTGCTCTTCCTGTTTGTGTAACCGCACGCTGTGCATGCCAGTGCTGGTTTACACGGGTTATCTGGTGGGGAGATGCATCTTTTAAACTTTTCAGAGCAAGCTGATGCTTCTTGATGCCAATTCTCATAAAAGTGGATAATGAACACTAGATGTGTTTTTACTCATATGCTCATTTGTATTTCTATTTCACCCGTGAAGATCGTGTGCGTGGCACAGGTCTGTATCCACTCCACGTGGGGGAATTCACTCTGACTCTACATTTACCACCTTGTCGCATCCTGTACTTAGCTTTTTAGCTTGACTTTGGTCCAAAACATTTGATGACAAAGATTGAATGAAACAAAAAGACAAAGTTAGCTAGGATGACCACAGACTCTTGGATGCCTTTGGTGGCAGGCATGTCAGGACACCACAGTACAGAGAGCACTGTACCTATTAGGACAAAGCCTGTGACTTGGAATGAACTATCCATAAGACTTGGGGGCTCCAGTGATGCAAATATTAGCATATGCCTGCCCCTGTGCAAATCATGGTTGCCTTAGGAAAGGCATATGCTTTCCTCTGGCTTTTCCCCCAATCAACCCTCACCTGCAGCACATCCCCCTCAGAGGTGTTCTGCTCCCTGAGTCTTGTTACCTCCTCCTTCTGGCCAATGTCTGCCCCATCCTTGAAGATACAGAGAAGGCTGCTTGCTGTGCCCCCCTACATTTCCCGGTGTAAGCTGCAGTGGTGTCCCTTTGAATCTCCCATTGCATGCAGCCTTTGCTGCCTCACAGACTTCTACTGCCTTCGAAGTCTCCTTTCCACTGTGTTAGAGATTCTTGGAATGCTGACACTTTGCCTTTTACCTCCATGTCCCAGTTTTGGCTCCAAAGAACAGATATATTTAAGGAGCAATTCTTCGAAAGACCACAAGACAGTTTCAGGCCCAGAGAGCAGTCTAAGCAATGCGTCCATTAGAACCACGTGATCTGACGACTGAAAACACAGACTTTCATGCCCAGTCCCTTCTCCTCACGTAGTCTACACGTGCGGCCCTGAATACGTGTTTTAAAACCCCTTACTTGCATAAGATTCTATAACTTACTCCTAGAATTTCAGGTTCTCTGCCCCAGAGTCTGGGCTTCCCAAGGAAATCCTCTGCCATGTTTACAGTTAATGTCCAATTCCTTTCTCATTTCTTCTACCTTCCCAAGTTTCCCCCTAAGTCTAATCAGAATCAAGAAGAACATTACCTAGAAAGATTTCACTTGCTAATGACAGGTTTGCTAAATTCACTAACCCTTTGGGAAAAGGGAGGTTTGAAAAAATTTAATATTTATTTTTATTAATTTAATATACATTAGGGTTTTGCCTGCATGTAATTCTGTATGAGGGTGTCAGATACCCAAGAATTGGAGTTACAGACAGTTGTGAACTGCCATGTGGGTGCTGGGAATTGAACCTGGGTACTTTGGAAGAGCAGCCAATGCTCTTAACTACTGAGCCATCTCTCTAGCCCCAAGAGAGGAGATTTTGAAGCCTGAGCAACGCACATACTATGTCTAGCACAGAAATGACAAACCCTTCCTCCTGGCTCTTGAGTGACCATCATTATAGATCCCAGAAGTAATATGGATTTGCTTGTTAGATCTTCATTCTGCAGACCTTCATACTTAATTTAGGTCCCCTTTGAAATCTAAAATGCCAGAAAAGAGCAGTCAGCAAAAGGGACAGGATTCTCTTGCACTCAGCTCTTTAGTCCAACATGATGAGGGCTCTGTGTGTGCCTTTTGCTATGCAGAACACTGCTGGGACAGATGCCACAATGATCTCTACTGGCAGATCTGAGAACCCCTCAGAGCAGAGCCAGGTCACATTCAGGAAGACTCCGAGACACTTATGGCAAGAGAGTCAGAGAAATCCCAGAGAGTAGGAAACAGTTTTTTATGAATAAAAGGTAATAAAAGGGAAATATTTTCAGATCACTTTCTTTCCATTCATCTCTTTCGGCTGTCCATGCAGTCATGACGACTGTGAAAGGTACAGGTGAGCGGAACACACCGGGAAGTCTCAGTATGGGCTCTGACTGTCATCAGGTGTCTGCCCTTGTCACGCCGCTAAACAGCTCTGCAGAACACACACCCGCCCTGTACTGTGAGAGCCTGAGCTAAAGTGTCTCTCACACAAGCTTCAGTGCTGAAAGTGTGGTGACATGCCTGTTAGGAAGCACAGCACGGACAGCAAACGCCACACCTCACCTCTTGACATCAACACACATTCATTGAGCTTCACAATAGGCTTTTGTGTTGGGGACACAAAGAATGAGAATGACCTTCTGCCCTCCAGGAACACATTGTCCCCTTAGAAATGATTTAAACAGCTTAAGAAATCTACCCTGGGCTCACAGTTCAAGTGTCCTACGAAATCACCTCCTTTTGACAAAACTATTTTTCATTACACGACAGGCCGGATGACAAAGATGACCTGCTTGGACCCAGGAAGAACTACTAGCATCCAGCAGGGTATGGGTGGGAGAGCTACACTCACAGAACCGTGAACTCATGTTCTTTTACCCTGCCTCTCCTCTCTGAATATTGGGATTTTTTTTTTTTCCCAGAAGCTAATCCTTAGAAGATTTCTCTCTTCCACTTTAATGGGAAAATATCTTTCTATCATAGTAACCCATCCCAAAAGAGCATGTATCTTTTGCATGCTAATCAAGAATCTGCACAGTGGAGAGGTCCTGGGCTGGAAAGGCAGGTCCACCCCTTTATTCATGTATGTAGATAAGGCATCAAGTCTGCTGTGCTGATGCAGAGGCTTTGCAGGGCTGTGTGCTGTAGGTGGCAGAACTATCTCAGATAAGAGCCGGTCTCCTAAGCAGTGAGGCATCACATCCTGTCAGCAAAAAGCCCTGCAACTGTTACAACATAAAATCAGGAAGAGGGATGGGGAAGGAGGTTTCTGTTGGACCTAACCAGTTCTTGGAGTTGCAATCCATGCTCTTTCCGATGTTTTAGAACATCTTGAGAATGCGGCTTGGAAGTTGTTGAATCCACCATAGTTCCACCCACTGATCTGAGCTGAGCATTCCTCTTTTTATAAGTATGAGCCAGACCACATGGCTTGTTTTTCCTATGCTGCATGCATGCACACATACACATGCGCACGCGCATGCACACACACGTGAATGGATTGAACTCAACATAATAATACACGATCATTGATTTGGAAGAATAGTTTTATAGCAAAATTACACCTGCTCCCAAGTTCCCAGTGTGTAAAAAGAAAGGTAACAGCCAACATGTCTGTAGCAACATCTGTAGCAGCATGCATGCAGGGCTGTAGTTTAAGTTTTCATTCTACAGTGGTACTGGACAGTATCTTTTGGAATCTCGGGCTGCTGTGGAAAGGGTAGGAGCAACAAGGCTCAAGAGGAGACTGGGCCTTGAATATATGTGAATATGAAACCTTTCAAGATGTGTGGCTGCCTAGGTCAGTTAGCACCCTAGATAAGGTCACTGTCTATCTTCAAAAGGTTTAAAGGATGCCACTTGACAGATTTCCAGAGAGGGTAGGCTAGGCTTGCTCTGCACGCTTCTATTCTATTCTGACTTCGTGGGGTCCTGACACGGGGATTTGCTGAGTGAACAGATGCATGGATGGATGGGCCACGTAGTGAAGCCAGATTAACAGCAAAGAGTCATTTGTCAGTAGAAGACAAATCAGGCACAGTCCTGTGGGCTTAGAAGTGATCAATCTAGTCATCCAATAAATGACTGATTGCTCCTTCAGTGCAGAAAGCCGGACCCAGATGCACGTGTCTATGCAGGCTGGGCAGGGAGGATCTGGGTGATTCTCAAGATTCCTGCAATTTCATATTAGCAGAGAGCCTAGCAAATGTGGATAGCATGCTTCTTTTTCATCTAATAGTTTTCCTGGAGGATTCTGATTATTCAGCTGCACATTCGCCCTCGTCTGCAGAGTTGAAGAAATAAGTGGCACTTGTCAGTGTTGGCCTTGAACTACAATGAAGCTGGCATCCTGGAGTCAGTATGTGGTTGCTACTATCTGCCACCAGCATTTCAATCTTATCCTTTTTTAAACATGCATATTTGGGCTATGTGTATGTGTGTGTGTCTGTGGGTGAGTGCAGGTGTATTAGTGCTGCACTATGGCACATCTGTAGACATCAGAGGATAACCTCAGGTTTAAGTTCTCCCCTCCCATTTTTATTTGAAGCATGATCTCTCTTTGCATTGTTGGTTGCTGCCTATGACATGCCAGTTGGTTCATGAGCTCGTCTCCCATTTCATCATAAGAGCACTGGACTTTAATTAATTAATTAATTTCTGTGTGCGTGTGTGTTCGTGTTGTGAGCATTGTACTCGTGCGGCTGTCAGAAGACAGCTTGTGGGGTTGGTTATCTCCTTTCGTCACCTGGGTCAGTAGCAAGCAACTTTGCCCATTAAGTTTTCTCTCTGGCCCCACATTGAGTTTTTCTTTTTAATGTGAGTGTTGGGGATCAAACTCAAGTCCTTCCATTTGTATGGCAAGTGAGTTACCCGCTGAGCCAGCACCCTAGCTTCTACCCACTTCTTATATCCAGGTCTTT